GAAGAGGAGAGAGGCGGGGTTAGGGGGTAATTGCCCTCCCTGCCATAATGAACTGCATTGCCCCTGGGAGGAAAGGAGGCAGTCTGGGCTTAGAGATGAGGCAGGGCACATGGGATTTCTGAGTATTTATATCTCACTCAGCCCCTGGTTTGCAGTCTAGCCCTGCACAAGGGAGACTACCTCTCTGTGACTTGGATAAGAAATCCATAGAGATCAACATGCTTTTAAAGGAAAATCCGTATCATTATCTCCTTAATACAGGTGAAGGAAATGAGGCAGAGCATGGGGAAGCAATATGCCTAGATTTAAAGTAACCAAATACTCAAACTGGCTTCCTGTCTACTGGTTCCCACACCCAAAGTTTCCCTTGTGTCACTCAGAGGGCCAGCTGGGTTCCAGGTGCTTTGCCTACCAGTGAGACTGCAGCATCTGCTGCGCCATGTCAGTGCTTAGAACAGAGTAGGCCAGACTAACCTATGTTAAGCTGCTCAGATATCTTGTAGACTGGGAATGATGACATGAGCAAGGTCCCAGCTGGGAATTAATGTAGGTGGTGCCAGACAGATCATAGAATCAGAGAAGTAGGGTCAGAAGGGACCTTGTAGATCTTCAAGTCTGACCCCCTGCCTGGGCAGGAAGAAAACTGGGCTCAAATGACCCCAGCCAGGTAGGCATCAAGCCACTTCTGCAGTTAATTCACAGTTACTCCCTCGTACTCTCGCTCCCCCTTACCTGTCTGATCTAAGAGCGAGCAAGACCGGTTTCCATCCATCTCACCCCTGTCCTTCTCATCTGGGCTCCCCAGCAGGGGCCTCGGGGGCTCCATTCGGTGGGTCTCAGTTGTATTGTCCCCTTCCTCCATGCTGCCCACCTCCACCTCTGCAGCTGGTGCCTCCGTATCAAAGTTCTCCAATGCTGGGCACAGTGTAGGCTCCCTCAAGGCAAAAGCATCCTGCACCCAGCTCTCTGTTGCATCTCTGGGGCCAGAAGGCTCTGGGGAAGGCTCATCAAGAAATGAAAGCCAGTGGCCCAGCTCTGGGTTGAGTCTCTTGGAGCGCCGGACCGCATAAATGGCACTGTCCTGCTTCCGGCCTGCTTTCCCTGGGAGTGGCTGGGCTGTAGGAACTACATGTTTCCTGGCCTCGTCCTCTGGGCTGCCAGTCTCTTTCTTGGCTTCAGGCTCAGCCCTGGGGCTTTGCCTTAGCTCTGTCTTCTCCAGTGGCATTTTGACTTTGGACTTACAAGTCCCTACAGAGGTGTCAGCTTCCTGAGCAGGAGCTCCTGGAGACCTGGAGCCAGAGGGCCTGGTCCAGGAGGCATACACAGGTTTGCCCAACCTGTATGGCTTGCTCACATCACACGTAATGTCCCTGGACAGTAGCTCCTTCAGGATGGAGAATGAGGAGGTTCTGGGCTTCTGGTAGCTGCCTATTTCCCAGGTGCAGGTTGTCCAGCTCTCCTGGCTGCAGTGGGAAGTTGTCTGCAAAGGGCAGTCTGGCTTTGCTTTCTTGTAGGGGCTGTTACAGTGCTGGTGCTTCACATCTGCAGGGTCTCTGATGGACAGCTTTCTTGGAGGAAGGCAATAGGTGTGCATGTAGCGGATGAGCTCCACCACTGAATGCATCTCTTTCTCACAGAACTGACTGTTGGTGCCATCCTCGGGGGACAGTATCATCACTGTGGCATCGCCGGAGCTCAGCGAGTCCTCACTTGTGTCACTGTCATCTTCATTGTGGACATAGGGATTCTGGGGTACGCTGCTGACACTGCTGCCTTGGCATGTGTCTGGTGGCCAGGTGGCTTTGGTCTGTGGGCAGTGTGTGGTGGAGGTGAGGTGCCTGTGCAGCTCTGTGCAGCTCCGGCTCTGAGCCTGGAGAAACCTTGACTTTCTGTCCCGGAGACCCTCCACCTTCAGAGACATGAGAGAGAAGCTCTGGTGAGAAGACTTGGCTCCAATAAGCTGTTCACTTGCTATACCAACATACTGCATGCAGGAACATACTGGCTAGGGGCAGAAATCCCACTGTGGACAAATGGTTCCTGTCCAGTTATTGTAATAAGTGGTGTTGAGGGGACATGCACTTAAGGCCCCCGTTTCTTTCAGGGGTAAGGGGAAGAAGGCTGTGCTAAAGGAGTTGGTGCATGTCCCTCACTCCATATGCATACAAACCAGCATCTGGTAAAAGCCTGTACACTGGTGGTGCACACTTGCAAGTGTGTGGACTGTAGACAATGCGCCCGCACATGCTAGTCTCATGTGTGTGAATTAGGTCCCATTGTTAGAAGGTGGGAAGATGGCTCATTTTGGAAAGCAGGTCATATTGCTAAGCCCCCTGTATGGTGAGCAACTCAGCCACTGGCTGACTGGCAGCCAGCACTGGTTGCACTGAGCATCTCTACTACTCTTTTGAGGAAGCCTAGCACAGGGCCTTCTGACCTGCCGAGCCTTGGTCTCAACAAAGGCAAGTTCCCAGGCTCAAAGACTTATAAAATACAGAGCCTCTACTAGGATGTTAGGATCAGCTGTGAATCATTAATGTAAGCTGTACTCCCATTAGGAGTACCATACTCCCCAAGTGGGTTGAACCACATTTTATTAAATCTCAGTGAGGATGCTCAGTTACCACTGGTCTCATCAACTACTGCAAGGTCACCACTTCTTGTCCCTCAAAAAGGGAATGGGAGTGTGAAGAAAGTGCACTAGCAAGCCCTCTTGTAGCCTCCAGCTATCTCAGGAGAGTGCAAGAAGGTTGCTTTTAATCTTTGAACAGCACAGAACAGTACACTTTGAGTGATGCCACTGGGATGGTGATACATGCTGGGCAGGGAGGGGAGTGCAGCTGACAAGGAAGCAGACTTGGCCTTACAATGTTGCATTGTCAATTCACTTTGGTCACACACACAGCAGGTACGTGGCCTTGTCCTTCCCCAAGATGGGAAGGAACAAGACTGAAACCTAGAAAGCTTTAACTGAAGAGCATCGTCCTACTGGCTTTGGAAACAATGGGTCCATTGGAAACAAATGACAGGGACAGCATAGTTAAAGGCAAGGGCCCACAATCCAGAGAGAGCACCTCTCAGGAGGAGTGGGTTCCATGTCCATTGCCATTCTGTCCTTGCCTCTTCTTTTAAGCAGTGTTGCCTGCAAAGGACCTGTGATCTGAGTGGACTGAAAACCCTTAGTTCCTTTCATTCAGGCCACCAGCAGATGGCACTGGCTTTTGCTTTCAGCCAACCTGGGTTGATAACATTTAAGCCAGCTACTTAGTAGTGAAAGACTTTGTATCCCCAGTATTCATAGATTCAGAGATTGTAAGGCTGGAAGGGACCTTGGAAGATCATTGGGTCCAGCCCCCTGCACCAAGCAAGAAAGACAACTGGGGTCAGGTGTTGACTCGTCTGTTCATCTGTTGTCTCCACCTCTCCTTTGCCCTGCAGCAGGACTAAGATGACAGCTGACCTTGCTGCACTGCCCAGCTGACTCTGATGGGTCCACAGAAGGGCAGTAACAGCCTAGGTGCCAATCTCACATGCTGGTGACTCTGTTCGAGCTTATGGGTGGACAAGTGACTTCTCTTCAATCCATTATATTTATGAAAATGGTGAGAAGCACTAGTGGAAGCCATAAACGACCGGTGCCTCCCAAGACTGGAGGGGCACCATTTGTAGGTGGCAGTACTGGCGGCAAGCAGGGACTGCCTGCAGATGTCGGCAGTGGGGGACGGGGGGCGGTGAGTGGGGACTGCCCACAGACCCCTGTGGTGATGGCAGCGGGGTGGGAGGGTGGCGAGCAGCGACCACCCGCAGAAGCCGGTGGTGGCAGTCAATCTCAAGGGGGACACATGCCCCCCCTTACGAGTCATCTATGGTGGAAACTATTAGACCAACTACATAAGGAGGTTATACAGAGGCACAGTCAAATGGTTTCCATCAGACACGCCAGATCTCTCTCTAGCTGGTATCTCAGACAAGCTTTTTGTTCAAACCTGAGTCCTTCTCTCATAGCAGAATGATGACCCCAAGCACCGGCAGGAATTTTCTACCTTTCCTAGGCAATCTAAATCCACAGGCGCAATACACTGTGCAATTTTCATTATCCAAGGAGAAAATCTTTGACAGCAACTTCTGTTGGATTTCAGGGGATTAACTGAAATCATTGGTTTGGTCTGCTGTTTTGCATGCCGCTGTCCCCAGGCTAAGTCAATTCAATCAATAGCACATTCTACTATAATTTGTTGGGTGCAAGGGGAGATGTAAGAAATTTTAATAAAACAGAACTCCAGTGAAACGGAAAAGTCTTATGCCCTCAGCCCTGCTGCAAGGACACCAGGGTAGCTGGGATCTGTCCTCAATCCTAATTGTGTTCAACGATTTCCACTGTGACAGACTATTTCCCCTTGTACCCAGCCCTCTCCCTTCCCCTTAAGATTGTGGTGCTGCTGCTCAGGTCTGTTTCCCCACCTGCTTCACCCCCATGCCCCATATTTCACCCAAGGACATTCCACCCTGCAACTACTTGATCCCTCCTTGAAGCTACCATTGGAGTGACATGTTTTCTAGAAATCATCAGGGAACAGAGGACTTGGTTGGGAGGTGAGAGGAAAAGTTATTTATAGTTTTTTTCCTGCAGGAATGGGGCGGCTAAGACAGAAAATACCTTAGTGCATGGTCGCTGAGGTCTTGATTTGGGGGTCCCATGACGTCGTGCACTCCCATCTCTCTGAGCCTCACAGCTTGGAGGCACGTGGGATGGAGAAAGAAGTAATTTCTTCAGCTGCAAAGAGAAACAGTGAGACAAAGAATCGGCATTCCAGTGTGAGCAGGGATCACAAGCTAACCTCTACAGCAGGGGTGGGCAAAATTCGGTCCAGAGGCCGGATGTGGACCATCAGGTCATTCTATCCGGCCTGCGGAGCCCCTAAAAATTTAGAAAATTAATATTTATCTGCCCTGGGCTGCCTGTCATGCAACCCTCGATGGCTTGCCAAAACTCAGTAAGCAGCCCTCTGCCCAAAATAATTGCCTGCCCCTGCTCTACAGCAAGCATGTGAGTGGGGTTCAGTGATCTCTGATAGTGAGTAGAGGTCACTAAAACCACAAGACATGCCGTTAGTGTTTCCATGTCTGTCCTTGGCTCTTACTGATCCTGGAGCTGTCAGCTGTAAGGATCAGATTAAAAAGTGGGGAAGAATTTCACACCTTTTAAGTGCTATTTGGCTGCAGATAAAGAACATTGTAGCTGGGGGTGAGGGGGGAGTTACAACCAGAGTACTGAGCACTTTCATTGCTTTAAATGTTCAAAGCACTTGATGAGCATACTCCCTTTTTTGTGGCACTGTCACCTAAAATGGGAATAAGGAGACACAGATGGAAGAATTTACTTGGCCAAGCCCCCACTGTATTCGATATCTCAGCAGCTCCTCTCAGAGCCACTGTCACTGCTTTGACTTTAAAATAACATGGCAAACCAACACTGTCCTTAGGAGACAGAGATTTTGGTTATATGCATGCATGCAAGTTGGGACGCCTGCATGGATCTCCCTGCAAGAATCATTCAGCTGTAATCATCTGAAAGGGGCTTGGATTAATTAATTAGCTCACAAAGTGTTTTGAAGAAGTAAAGCTCTGTGTACATGCCAAGTGTTCACTGGGGATCTCACCCAAGACAGTCCTGCTCAGAATTCACCATAATCCCATCAAACTGGAATTTCCTGAGCTCAGATAGGGCACAGTTACTGCAGATCACAGGGTCAGAATACTTTTTCTTTTCAAAACCTTTTTTTTTTGGTAAACATTTCATATTCCACACACATCGTGCTAGCACTGAAGGCAACAACAGATCAATAGCAAGATGACTGCGTAGGCTCTGCAGAAATGTACAGAAATGACATATCTGGGGCTTGGTCTTCAAAGCTGGCTTCCAAAGTTGAAGACCCTTTTAAAAATCAGGACTGTGCTATTGAATTAGAAGGTTGTTGCATCAGGGCTCCTGTTCTTTGTTGGGTTCTGCAGTGAAATTTCAGTAGAGGTGCCCCATAGCTTCAGCATGCATCTCCCCTTTAGCTGCAAATGTTCAGTACTTTCCCCCTGCAACGTATACATCCTATATATACACATACATATTGTGTGTGATATATACACTCCCCGACAAGCGCATTTTGGCGTGAAGCAGCAATGCACACTTTCATCACTAGATGGCGCTATGCACTTTTATAAAGGTGCCACTCCTTAATGCACAGCAGAGAGATGGGGTGCCCCCATCAGACAAGTGTTCCAGCTGGTGAATCTGCTCCAGGAGCAGCTTGGCTCTCTATATCAGACCAGCCACAACCACCAGAAAACCTGGGAGGAAAGCCCATGCCCTGCTGTTAATAGCTCCAGAGCAGCTTGGGTTCAAGAAGTGGAAGTATCAACTCAGGATTTCTGGGAAGGATTCAGAGGTGGGATTGGAACAGGCAGTTCATGGACCAAATGAGAGGCAGGGCAGGCTTGTAAAAGCTGGAGCCTGGACAGTGGTGCATGGGAAATGGCACAGCCCTGGCTGAGGGAAAACAGGCCCTGGGAAGAACAGAAGGGCAAGTAGATGAGATCATCTGCATCCTTCCTTCCCCTGCCCCATGGAGGGTGGAAAATCTTAAAGAAAGGTTGTGGAACTGAGGCCCCAGATAAGAGGCACAGGCTGGGATTACAGTCAGGTCAGGGCCTGACTTTCCAGCAGAGGACCTCCCAAAGCAGAGGAGCATTGGCTGGGCCCTCAGCACGTGTTTTGAGAGAAACTGAGTGGCACCAACCTGGCAATGACTCTGGGGGGACAGATTTGGCTGTGTCCTGCCTCCAGTCACTATAGGGGACTGGCTGGAATGCCAGGAAGCCCTTGGATGGGCAGCACGGGGCCAAAATGAGAACTGTTACCCCAAATAGAGAGTTTAGCTAAAATGGGGCCTCTTGAGGTGGGACTTCTGGGATCACCCTCATTTTATTCCACCCCTGATGACCCCTTACCTGCCCCCCTGTTTACACACAGCAGAAATCAGCTTGTTTCAATGAGAATGGCGATGAAGGTGACAGCAATGGTGCGGCATATGTATACGTATACAATACAGGTATATATGCTTTGTATTGACGGTTAAGAGTTTTAAGCCTATAATGAAAAAATTCAGACCTTTGCTTCCTATCATACCCATGCAGCCGGCTTATCAGAGGCTCATCCAAATCCACCTTAAACAGTAGGAAGTGGGTTCTTACTAGAGACAGCTCATCAACCTCTGGGGCCGGAGGCGGCCCCCCCACGACCAGGGCGGTGGGTTTGGGGGAAGAGGTGGGCGAGGTGGAGGTGTGGGTGGGCGCATCCCCCTCTTCCATAGTTCGGAAGGCAGCCAGGCCTATGTCATCTTCCTGTATATCATCCAGTGTCTCGGTGAGAGCTGCCAGCAGCGCTTCATTCTCGCTGTCTATTATCTGAAAGGAGCAGACAGAAAATAGAGAGTGCAAGTTAGACAGAGGTGTGGGAGTGAGCAGGCGCTGCTTTGAAGGGACAGCTGTGGTGTGCTGCAGGGTTAGACCGTAAGTTCTTTGGGGCTGGGATCCCACCCTGTTTTGTCTTTCTACACGGTGGGGTCCTGGTTCATGACTAGCAGGGAGAGCTCTGAGGTACTACGGCAATACAAGTGCCAGTAATAACAAGTCTTGATGGAGAGCCAAGAATCCCTTCCCCAAACAAAGCAATTGGTAACTTTAGGTAGAGATGGAGGTGATCAGGACACCAAAATGTCTCTTGGTAATTACAGATGTTCAAGGTCTTTAATTCTTACTTAGGCCTGGATCGTGTTAAGAAAGGGAGAGCGTGGCTGAGCAGGGTTCCTCTGGATTCGTATAGTGATAATGGCACTCTCCATGGCTGGGGAGAGGACTTGCAGCTCCCCCTAGGAGGCAGGTAAGGGGCATGGGCTTCTTTATAAAGAAAAGCCACAGCAAAGGATAACCTGTCCAAGGCTACAGAGGAAGTCAGCAGCAGGGATCAGAAGGAGGATATGCCTGGTCCCTAGTCCTCCTGTGCTTAGCTCCTACAGCAGAAGTATTCCAGCCCCTACTTAAAGCAAAAACAGCAGTCAGATCGCTGGTTGCTTTCTCCATCGAACTGTAGGCCTGGAACAGCAGGAACCCAGAGAAGACTCCCACTGGATGTCCCAGGAGAAGTTCTCTCTGCCTTCAATAGAGATTGGATCCTCCTAGAACTCCCTCTCCCTGGCTAGGAGAAAGGGATCCCATAGTGGTCGGGGTCTAATGCCCAAAGGAGGGAAACATGACAGGCTAAATGAGGACAAGGAAGACCTGGAGTCAGGGCAAAGAGAAAAGGACTCAAGACTGAAATGGCAAAAGGTGGGCTGCATGTCAGGAAACTCCTTTATCTAGAAAAGACAGGCAGAGAGAGGATGCATGGAGCCAGCTACTTGGGACAGGATCATTAGCCAAGGACAATTACAGGAGTAAGGAACAGGGCTCTTTTTGCTCCCTGTTGGGAGATTGGTTTCTCTGGGTGTTGCCAAACCACAGCATGGTGGAGGGCATGCCTGGTCTATGGAGACTGCAGGTCACAGCCTGCGATGCTCCCCCTTCCAATGAAAGGACCAGCTCGCCTTCATACCAGCTCTCCTGCATCACAGAGGTGCCCCCTCCATATTTATGAAAGAGGCCTGGTTCTTCTACCCCTTTCACCAGTTTTACACCTGTTCACCGACTTCAGTAGTACTGTTCCTGGTTTATACCAGTTAAATGGAAGAATCAGGGTCAAAAGCTGCTTCAATCAGATCCCGGTTATTCACATTTATTATGACCTTTGGGCACCCAGCAACATGCCAAGACTGGTCTCAGTGGGGCTAAATTAGGTGCCTCTAGCATAGCCAATTCAATCATCAATGAATGTTTCCTTCCAGAGGCTCTGCTGTCTCATGAATATACCTGAAGTTGGTGCATATAAATCTTCCTTAGACAAGTTGATTGGTGCTTTCTGGATTCCCTGGAGGAGGTATAGCCCTATTTCTCTCACAGGGGGCAAGCTTTTGTTACAAGGATTCTCCTGTGTGCCTCAAAGGGCACATCCATATTTTGGCTTGATGTACAATGATGCCTCTGGAAAAAGCCCAGCTCAATTCATGCTTTAAATTAGCAGCTGTTGAAGCAACTTCCCCTCCATCCATCTCTAGTCTTTCCTGTTTTGGGGCCTGCTTCAGACCTAACTGAAAATAGGCAAGGGCATGCAGAGATGTGTGTTCTTCCCCAATGTATGGTCTGGTACCATGAACCTGCTACCACTTCCACTGGACTCACTCTCATTTCTCCAGAGCAGCTGGTCCTAAGGCTCCCAGGAACCCTGGGACCTGGAGTGGGTCTTGGAGGAAGAGCAATGTTCATGCTTAAGCAACAGAAGGAAGGAAATAGGAGGGACTAGAGCCAGGCCTTCAGGGTGAATCCCTGTTGTCTCTCCTGGCAATTGTACTACAAGTCTCATGACTTGGCTAAAATCATAAACCTACAGAAAAATCTCAGCTTTTTCATTTTGAAATATAAGACATTTCCAGCTCTTGTGGCTTCAGAGAGAAACTTGAAAATAAGTGAACAAATGAATTGTGATGGTTGAAAAGAAAAGGAACCTCCATTTCATATCACAAAAAGGATCCCTGGATGGTTTACATGACTCTGGGGGCCAGGACTCATGGGGAGTATCCAGATGAGCCCGGCCGTGCGGTAAATGGCACCACAAACATGTCTGCAGTGCCACATACTGCACAGTCTGTTGGTCTCCACTCTGTAAAGGTGCGCTACTCAACCATGCGCTGCTCCAGTTTATTTTCCATGGGGTTTTTTGACCCCTGGGTACCCAGGGGTCAAAAAAAAACCATGGAAAAAAAAATGGAGCAGCACACACTCGGGAAGCGCGTGCTGCTGAAAAGCAGAGCTGGACTGCCCAGAGCCACACTGCAGCTGCTGGCCAGGCTCTGCCCAACAGGATCGCCACAGGTGCAGCCCTGAGAGACTCTCAGGACCCCAGGTAAGGCTGTTGGGGCCAGCACAGTGCTGTCTAGCCTCCCCTAGTGCCCCCGGGGTAACTTGCTGCACGCCAAAGCGCATGTGGCACGGACATACCCCAGGGACAAGTAGCTGCGGTGCAAAGTGCGCTACTACTTGTCCCCAGGGAAGCAAATGTCTGCACTTGTCTGGATGTACCCATGAGTTCTGAATGTCTGGGGTTAAGGTTATATTGTTGTTCTGCAATATACAACACAATGCCATGATGCAATGCTGCTGTGTGGAGAGGTGTCCATGACCACTGGCTTTAGTAAAACCATGTTCATGAACCTATTAGTTTTTGAGTGTGGCTTCTTCACAGAGAAGACCTCATTAGGGCCACAACCTTTTCCACCACAGCTCTGATGGTGAACTTCTCCTCTCCTCTGTTTATGCCAGTGCTGGGCTCCCACACGCAGCCCTGCTGTTGCACTTCACTTTCTGTCTACAGTCCCATGTTTCTCACTGTTCCACCCACAGTCCTGAGGTCACCAACAATTCCTCAGCCTGTTGTAACCAACTGTTCAAACTGAAGACCAAATACAGGGCAGAAACACAAGACAGAAGAAAAATGTGATGGAAGATGCATTTCTCTTTGCTTATTTAATGGAACATTCCCAATTATGAATAATTTATCACAGTAAAAGGATAATAGCAGATAAGCTTTAGGGACAGGGATGAATTGGGGTCTACAAGGAGGACCAACTGAGAGGAATATGGGCTAGGCACCTGCTAACACTGATCTATGCAAGAACCTTTTTACTTCAGACCTTCAACCCTGCTTGCAGTTATGACAGCAAGAGACAAGGCATCAGGGTGGTCCACCATTGGCCCTCTCTATTTTCTGCCTGTGACTGGCCTGAGCTTAGTGTGC